GATGCTCCTCCCAGCTGAAGACCAACTGGAGGAAGCACAATTTGAGGTTAGCAGGCGACTACATTTACATGTGAGAAGATAAGAGTGTTACAGAGTAACAGCATCTGTGCTCTGCACTTGCAAATCAGAATTTGACTTTTCATGGAGAAATAATGACCCTTCTAAAAATAAGCCCGAAAAGAAAAGAAGTCATCTTTGGTGGAGGAAATGGGTGATGGGAGGGCTACCAAGTCCTAAACTAGAGCCCTAGAGTCCTTAAATGCCCAGAGGGGTCCCAGGGCTATCACAGGAGTAAAGCATCCAGGTGGAACAGACAACAAAGTGTAGGAGGGGCTGGTCAAATGGAGAGGTGCACGTGGACCAAAGGGGCAGCCATTTGACCCAGGGGAGTGGGGGTCAGGTGGCATGTGGGTCCAGATCTTCCATTTTTCAAGAGAAACCAAAATCTTCCAACATTTAAGTGGTGGCAGCTAATATTAAAAACATATACCTGCATACATACATACTGTATGTGTCAGTACTGTGCAGGGTAGACAAAACATAGTCTGGGGCAGTGTAAGCCCAATTTTTGAAATCAGGCCTAAATCCATACAGACATCCATGTGAAAAAACAGTCCATTAGGAACAAGGATCCTTTTGTGAGGATGGCTAAAAACCATAGCTCAGTCCTCAGCAAGGGGCAAGAGCCTTACACCACATGTTCTGAGTTCATTTTCTCTCTCTGTCTCCCCTCTCTTTTTTCTAAGATCTCTGACCTCAGAAATCAAAAGTGTTGATGTTTCTCACATCTTATATTTTTATGGCCTCCCAGAACACAGAGATGACTAAATCCAGAATGCTGCATCACTTGACTGTAGGACAGACTGACGTTAATGACTCCGAAGCAAAGCTTATTCTAATTTTCCAAGTTTATCCCAGTTCACAGCTTAACAAAACCTACCTACGGTAGGCTTGCTTGCCTTGCTGGGCTGAGTACATCTGACGATTGAATTTGTAGTCAGATTTGCTAACTTACAAGATTGGCCTTACTCAAAATGTACAATTTCATACGAAAGTCACTATCATCCCGCACTTAGTGGATCTTGGGCCAGGTGTCCAAGAGAGCAACGGCTGCTGTTTCTAACTGCCCAAAGATGGGGATGGCTTGGTTGCACAAAAGCTCATTCCAAATCAGAAAGGGAGCTGTGATCAATGAGGAGAACTAGCCCATTTCCTTCTGAGGAAGGTGAAGTTAACAACCTTACAATGATCAACTTTCTAATTTGGGCCTTACAACTCATAGTCTCACTTCAAAGAAAATATTATGAAAGTAGGCAAGTACTTTTGAGTTATTTGTTCCTGTTTAAGACTGAATGGGAGATAGTTAATTGGTGTTAGGAATCCAACTACATAAAAAGCTAAAGATACATTATTTTATTTCATTTTGTTTATTTATTTATTCATTTTATTTCTTTCATTTTAAAGCAAGGGTCTTCCAGAAAACGAAAGGACTTATTAGGTAGTTAAATGCTGCTTTCCCACTTCTGTGAATAGATACACACACATAGCAAAAAGAATACAGTACTATCCATTAAGGGACTTACAATGGTCCTACAAATATTTTTTTGGTAATAAGCTATATATGTTATTATCTTTACATTATCACTTATTATTTTTCATCATAAGTCAATAAGTCTTTAGTACCTATTACAAAACATGTGCTCATTTAAGGGACTTTTGGAACCTAAGATAATTCACCAAAAGGCACTTAACTCACTAGGGGTTTTCAAGTGGGGGATTTCCTTATTCAGGTTTTTGACCATCTCTTAGAAAATGATTACTCTGTCCTTGGCAGTTGTGGTAGCCTTCAGAGAGATTCCTTTGAACTACTGACATTTCCACCATTAAGAACTATTTAGAAGTAAATTACTTGTTTAGTGTCCCAAAGAAACTTACTTAGAGACAACATCCAAATCCTGAGTCCTCTTTGTCTTTCACCTTTTGCCTTCTCTAAACTCAATGCAAGAATAAAAATTGCTTTTTCTAAATTAAACTCTAATTTTGCCACCAAGGGTGGTAATTGTATTATGGAGACAGACAATAGAAGATTTTTCATTCACCCAATTGTAGCTAGTCATGAAGGACCCAAAGATTTCCATATATCAATTTCATTTTTCCTTTCCAATCTTGCCATCTTTTATAAATTTCTGTTTTTCCATCCTGGTTGTTAATGTTTTAAATTACATTTCATAATTTATTTTATTCGTAAGAATTTTCAAGTTTTTTATGATTTAAAGAAAACCTGTTAAAAACAACAATAAACAGAAACACACTGCAACCTATTTCATGTCTCTTAGGCTGGTTTAAGAAAAATTATTAAATTATAAACTAAACAACTGTCCTTTATTTTGTCCCTGAAACTCTTCTGTATGATTGCTTATAAATACACCGACTTCTTTTTCAGCGGCCCTCTCCTTGTCCTCGACCATAATTTTGAGAAGTGCTCTAAGAAATAAAGGAGAGGAAAATGGCTAATCTAGTAACTGCCTAACCATAGACCTAAACAGTACAAGACAAAACCTATCAGGACTATGTGCTATTAAAAGAAGCAGTAGCAGTCCTCACAGCTACTTCTCACACAAATTTCTAAAGTAAGTTTGCCTCTTTTTCTGTATCCTTTAGACACTTGTGAATTGTTTGGGGCTTTCAAATTTACTTATCATAGGTCCCATGGAAATGACACCCAGAAACTAGGGGAGAGAAAACTAACTCCAAGAGGGAAGAAGGAAGGGAAGAGAAGCAAAGAGGTAAAGGATGGGATATTTGCTGACCATAGATTGTGCTAGAGACAAGAGGACTAGAGGAAGAAAGAGGAAAAGAGAAAATATGGCCGCTCCCTCCCATCCACTCCCAGCCCACTGACATGATTAAACCAAATTTGCTTCTGCGTTCCATGTAATTAGCACTCGCGCCCCCATTTAATTTATTTGCACACTAGTAAATAAAGCCCTACTAAGTGCGAAGTCATAAAAGCAAGCATTTTCTGGAGACACACAAGGTGACATAATGGTGTGGAAACTTCTTTACGAATGGAGGCGTGATATTGTGCCAGTGATGGGGGCAGGGCAGCATTCTGTGTAACTAAATTTAAGAGTCATATTAGAAAAGAGAAATAGAGGATATACTACCAAATGCAAACAATGATTATCTAGGTGATAGGATTATGTCAGATTTTTTCTTTTTACACCTCTGTATTGATAAATTTTATTTGATAAATGTTAATTTTTTAGGCCATATATCATATATAACAGTAATAAGAAAATTATGTTTAATATATATTATAGATATTATAACATGTACATATAAATAAATGTGTGTATATATATATGCACATATGTGTGTGTATGAATGAGTGTGCATTCTTTCAGAAAAGCAGTTTCCTTGGTGCTTTAAACATGCACCTCTGGTAAAGATGCTATAGTATAAAAGTTAAGCATAGCTCTGGGCCTTGATAATTTTGCTACACTTATTAGTATTGTTATTCCAAGAGCTAAGAGATTGTCAAAGCAACTAACACTGCAATAAGGCAGTGGTTAATGATAAGGAAGAGAAGAGTGTGATCTGAGGTTGTATAAATGGTTTCTCAATTTTGAATCCTAAATTTTCTTGAAGAAAATTTCTAAAGGAGCCCAAATATTGTACATTATTTCTGAAAGGATCAGGGAAATTTTTTTTTTCCGATCATAAGATTGTTCCAGACATCAATGCTTTTTTCCTTTCAACTCTTGGTGTCATCTGGACATCAGGTGCAATCAACGAACCGCCCGGGCTTTGGAACTGGATCTAAATAAAATCCCAGCCCTGCCGCTTACTGTTTGGACTCGGTCTAATTACTTCAGCTTTCTGAACCCCATTTCGCCATCTGTAAAACGGAGATGAGGACATCTTCCTTACTGCGCAGCTGCGAATGAACTGAGATCACATTCGTAGACATTCTGATCACAGTGCCTGGCACTTTGATGGGGACCAACAAAGTAAGAATCCATTGGCTTTCAGAGAATTCGGAACTCACATGAACCTCTGGAGGCCAAGTGTCTTCGATCAGCCATCACCAAGCTGGCATTGCTGAGGTAGGGACTCTCCAAAAGAGGTGGCCGCTGCTTAGGCTTTTAGGCCAAGTACAGGCTCCCCAGCGCGTGCGCGGTGGCAGCAGGTACCACCGCCTGAGCAGTGAGGCCCAGGTTCCCTACCGCCCCGGAGTTCAGCGAGCAATGAAAGATAACAAGAAAGAAAATGGAGAGAAGAAAATTAAAAAAAAAAAGACCAAACCTGAGATAGTGACTCACGGTCTTAAGGAGAGGGATTCCCGGAAGGGAAACAAAACAGTTTCTTTTTCTGTGTAGCGACAAGAAGGTAAACAAGTCTCTTAAGGCGCATTCAGCCTCAAGATAACTTTTTCAAGAAAGAAACGGTGCAGTCCAAAGCCTCAGGTTTAACCACCGCCTCGGGGCTGATTTATTCCCTAAAGTTGGGAACTGCCGGAAAACCTGTATTACCAGTGCAGGGAGTGCAGGTTCTCACCGCTCCGCGGCGCGCACATCCACCAGCACAGCAGCGGTGCTTCGGCGTGACTTGTAAAGACTTGTCCAGAAGATCCCCTCCAGTCTCCGGTCCCTCCAGCGACCCTCAAATCTCGCACGCCCCGGCCCGCCCCCCGCGCCCACCCCTCTCTGGGCCGCGGACAGCGTCCCCGGGGAGCACCCGGAGCTGTTCCGCCTGCCCCGCGGGCTTACCGCTCTATATCCAGCCCCAAGAAAAACGAGTTCCCCGGTTTCCTGAGATCCCGCCCTCAGGGAAAGTCCTGGCAGCCCTGGTGAGCCAGCCTGTCAGAGGCCGGACAAGCCCGCCGCCCACGCGCGCATCCCCCTGCCGCCACCGGAGCTAGTCCAGCGCCCGCCCGCACCGCGCCCGCCCAGTGGCCGAGCTGGGAGAGGCTCCCGCCCGGACAGGAGAAGACTCACCAGTGGCCAGAGAACCCAGATCTCGGACATGGCTGTGGAGCAATCGCCAAAGTGAAGGAGCCTCTCCAACTGGCACCCGAGCGGGTCACACACCCCGTGAGAAGTGACAGCCCCGCCGGGCCTCTCCCCGCGCTCCAGCCAGCCTGAGAGTGTTCCCGCCGCGACCCGCCCCGGGGCGCTCACGCACAGTTACTCCGGTAGCGCTTTTCTCTTTCTCCAGCAGCGTCTCCGAGCACCAGCGTGTCTCTTCTGAGAGACCCGAAAAGACTTAAAGAAAGGTCCCCGGGCCCGGGGTCTGGGGGGAGCCGGGGTTGGAGGAGGAAGCTTTGCTGAGGAACGCCTGGGTGGGGGAGGGCGCCGTCGATTCAGCCTGCGCGCGCACGGGGCGGGGTGGGGGGTGGTGGTGGTGACGGGGTTGTAGAGCCGGGAGTGGGGATTTGTTACACAAACGGGCATTCCCCGTTGCGGGCGTTTCCGCTGTCGGCTGGCATGCCTATATCAGGTGAGGATCTTGAGAGCGGGCTTGATGTCCTTTCTATACTCTTCCGCAGTTTAAACTGGGAAGGCTGGGGAGGACTGGGGTGCACAGCGCAGACATCCTGCCTCCGTGCAGAAGCCTCGGCTAACTGCTGGGATTCTCAGAAAAGACCCAGTCTTCCCTCAGCTCCACGTGTTGTGGTGGTGACCTGAGAGGCTCACAGGAGTCCCCGGACTAGTGTATGTAGTGAGAGTTACCGAACGAAAAGTTTCAGATATTGTGCTATGGGGATTCCGAAGAGGACGGACCCCTTACCTTTTATTTCTCAAGAGGAGTACAAAGCTAACTCCCAAAACAAATCACACAGCTCCAGCTGTATTAGAAGTTCACAATTACTTCCCCTCTTTTGTTACTCATTATTTCCTGGCGAATTTTCTTAAAAAAAAAAAAAAGTAGTACTTTAGTGCTTTGGTTAACAGCTCGAAGTCACTATTGTTTTGGAAAAGTTGATCTGTCTGTTTAGCCAGTTCTGCAAGAATTTTACAGAAGGAAGTTTGTATAATGACATCATCAAGGAGCATGACTCTGAAAGTAGTTCCTAGGCTGGGCACCAGTGAAGCGGTATTTCCTCGGCATCCTTCACTAAGCTTTACACCCTCACTCAGGTACTCTTCTTCCTTCCCAGATGGCTGTATCCCATGAGGAACACTCTCCTTTCCCTCCCTTTGCCTGGCTCATTCCTCATCCATCAGACTCCCTCTCTGTGGACATTTTCTTCTGGTAGCCTTTCCAGGCTCCCAAGTCTGGGTGAGGTCACCCTCCTAAATGCTTTCACTCACCTGGTGTTTTGCACTGCCCTCATGGCCCAGTCTTGCAGATATGGATTTACCTGTCTCTGCTCATCTCCCTGCAGATTGATAGTGCTGTGAAGAAGACCCTGGCTGGCCAGTCCGGTTCCTACAGTTCCCAGCCCAAAACAGACAAAAAAAGAAGTGAATGGTGGGGGGCTGGAGCCAGGAAGTTGGGGGTGTGTGTGGGATGTGGAGAGACTGTGTATTATCTTTGCAACTTTTCTGTAAACCTAAAACTGTTCTGAAATTTAAAAGTTTATTGAAATTAAAAAAGAATCATAAAAGGAAGGAAGGGAAGAAAGGAGGGAGGAAGGGAGGGAGGATAGAGAGAAAGAGAGAGACAGAGAGAACAGTTGACAAAATCAGCATCTCATGAGTGAATCATGAGCCAGAAACTTTTACAAATGGTTCTTCCTTACTTAATATTTACCATTTTAATCCAGTGAGGTAGGTGATTATTAAACTTACTTTATAAATAAAGAATTGTAGCCAAAAAAGTTTAAGCAACATTGGCCATTTGGTTAGTTAATAAATAGCAGATCTAGGAATTAAACTTCGATATTCTTGTTCCTGCTCTTTCTAACCCGCTCTGCCCCCCTCCACCCAATTACCCTCAAGTTCAATGAAATAATTATAGATGCTTTGTGGGGAAGAGTGTGTTTCATGATCAAATGATTTTAGAAAATTCTGGGTTAATTTAAACAGGTCTCTTAATCCAAGACTTCTCAGAGCCTTCAATATGCTAATATGCACTGTGACTGTCTAAGAGGGGGCTATGATATATACTGTTCCCCAGCCTCTGTCTTCTTTATAGAGTCCTTTGAAGAACACCTTCTGAATGACCACCTTAGGAACGCTGGTGTTCTGCGAGAAACAGTTCAGACATCTCTAATGGTTATTTTTATTTAACAATGCATTCCTATGGGCCTCCAAGCCTTCAAGGGCAAAGAAATACAATTTTAATAACAGAATTTCTGGCACTCTACCAGATGTGGGAGATACTCTGGACAACCGTCCTGATTTTACTGAAACCACACCATATGAGTTAAAGCCTGTTCTACTCTAAAGATATCCTTGCCATTGAACATTTCCTTCTGAATAACATTTAAACACGCATCTGCCTATTTTAAAAAGCTGGGAGGAAGAAAACCCCCAATACCTTTTTACCATCAAGACTACTTTTATTCTCCACGAATGTTTTAAAAATTGTTATCAAAAAAACTGCTCTCACTAAATGGCAACAAATTGATTTTAATAATCCCCACTTGCAGTGCACATGCATGATTGTTTATCCTACATCTTTTCCCCTTCTTCCTGGTAATAGCGTCTCTAAGTTGCCTTTGTTCCTCTTCCCTCTTCTTAGCTATTTGATGTGGGTGGTTGTACTTGTCAGGATTCTCTAGAAAAACAAACACAATAGGATATATATAGACAGATATCAAGATCTATATAGCTAGATCTATCTATTTATCTATCTATCTACCTATAGATAGATAGATAGATAGACCTATGTATATATATAGAGAGAAAGATGTAAGGCATTGTTTTATTTGATTATGTAGGCTGGCAAGTCCAAAATGTGCAGGGCAGGTTAAGCAGGCTGGAAACCCAGGGAAGAATTGCAGTTCTCGTCCAAAGACCATCTGCTGGCAGAATTCCCTTTCTCTCAAGAGAGGTCACTCCTTTTCTTAAGGCCTTCCATTGACTGGATGAGGCCTACCCACACTATGGAGGGCAACTGCTTTACTCAAAGTCTATTGATTTAAATATTAATCCCATTCAAGAAATACACCTAGAAACACCTCAGATAGTACCAACTGTTTGGGTACTGTGGCCTAATCAGAGTGACACATCATCCTATGTGTCAACATAGGATTAACCATCACAGTGGCATTGACACCAATCCCAGGGCCTGTGTGTGTATGTAGTGAGGGGAGAGGAAGACAGGGAATCCCAGTTGGTTAAGGCAACCAGCATATCACATTCTGTCGTGAGCTTTCCTGGAAACAGTGGGACACAAACTCTTTTTTTTTTTTCTCCACTGCATTTGAAGTGGGAATATTTGAAGTGTGGAACTGGTGAGGTGGTTCCTGCCAGAGCTGGAGACAGAGTCAACCCACTCTGAGAGAAAACCACACTGAGAGGCTGAGCCTAGTAGTGTCGCCTGAGTCCTGGATTGATTTAGTCCTGAAATTGAAACCTAGACTACCCACAGTTACCTGGCTCAGTACATTCTCAGTGTTTGCTTCTTACAGCTAAAAGAATCTTAACTACTATGTCATCAGAGCTTATAATCAGTGTAAGAAACTCTCTGTTATCAAAATTAGTTGTTACAAATGGACTGTTGCAGTTTCAGGCTCAAGTAAGGATAAAGGCCTAAACAAGCCTGTAGAGATGGCCGAAGATCTAGCGCATCACTTCTACCAAAGAATTTTTCTATAGCTAGAGGGCACCAGATACCACATCAGCCAAGTGATGAAGAAAATTGAATACTGTTTCCATCCATGAATAGAAATATATTTGAGTTCTTGGGAAATGGAAGAAAGAAGAGGGAATGTTTTGATTTGGGTATGTAATCTGTGAACCTGATCACTGAGACATTTTCATCTCCCAGAGAAGATCTTATTTCTCTCAGGGTTAAAGAAATGACATATACAAAGCACCTAGCACACTCAATAAATACTACTTACTACTTTGGCACTGCTCTTCCTAAATGAGGTGCCGTCACAGGACAGGTTGCTAACTGGGGTCACAGTTCAGGTAGAAAGAAAGTAGCTTACAACCACTTTCCTATATTATTTCGTATATGAGTGTGTTCATGGGCCCAAAGGTACAGGAAGGTACTTTTCCTTTTTCTCCAAGGAAAAGTGCTTGGAGCCTGGCTGACAGAAGCTGGAAAGCTTGGCCCTGGGATGTGGAGCAAGTTACTCAATCTCCCAATGTCTCCCACCGTGAAAACTGGTATATTAACCTACCTCTTTAGCAAGAACTTGAAAAAGACAATGGATTAGAGAGCATTTAGACTGCAGTGGCTAGGACGCAGCGAGCACCCTGAGAAGCAAGTAGTTGGAGAAAACAGCTCTTCTGTAGGGCCTGATTTTGTAATCCAGTTGGGCACTCCTCCCCTGAGTGCCCTGAAGGCACAGATTTTCTATGAATCCACACACGAAAAGTGGGCCCGGGCCCACCCAAGGTGTTCAGAACCGACACACGAAAAGGTAGGGACCACTTTTCAAGAAGTGCTAATCTGGGGTAGATGAGATTTAAGGCTTATTTTAAGGCTATACTTCTTAAGCCTCAGTCTACATTTTGCCATATCTGTGGTCCACTTGTACTTTCATTTAACTAATATATATTTTTAAGTCAACTTGCTTTGTTTCTTAAGTAATTTATTTTTAAAAGCAAAGCATTACTTTGTAACTATAAATGGAAAATCAGCATTCCTTACCAAAGATAGAAGGTATCCATAAAAATAAATACACAACCATTGAAACAAAATATTTGCCTGCGTACCACTAAAAATGTTTCCCAAACCACCTGTGGTAAGGGTACCACTACACTTCTGGAAAGGTTGGCCTAAGACATGAAAGTCTCTGCTTTAGCCTTCCTCTCTGCCTCCAGAATGAGAGCCAGAGAAAAGACCAGCAAACCTGGACCTCAGGCCCATCTCTAGGTAATGTCGACAGCAAGAGATGTCAGAGCAGCATGGGGTTAGGGACAGTCATTGCCTGTTAAGCCCCATCTAGTGCTGGAGGAGTGTGATTGGGGGCAACCCTCCACCAGGGCACAAACCTTTCCCTATTAGAACAGGCTGAGTGACAGATCAAGGGAGATGATGGATGCGGAAGAGGGGAGGGTTACAGCAAGTCCTGTAAAGCTAGAGAGAAAATGCAGAGTGAGGTATTAGAGGAGAGATGATAGGGGAACAGGAGGCTAATTTGGAGCACAGAGCACCTGGAGAGAAGGAAGAAGTAGATGGTTTTCTGCAGAGGATGGCCTTAGT